TTGTTTTTTTTTATTTTAATTTGGTGGATGGGGGAATAAATAGGGGGTTTATGAAATGTCGGCCAATCGAGACCGAGAGCCTTCTTGACCTTCCACTTGTAAGATTAATAAATAAAAAAAAAAAAGAGTTTTTTCAATACAAGACCCGAAAGATAGGTAAACTCTCAATTCGGAGTCTGAAAGATTTTTTTCTCAATTCGGGACCTGAATGTTATAAACTATCAAATTAAGTCCTACAATTCGGGACCTGAATGTTATAATTATAGGACTTAATTCGATAGTTTTATAACATTCAGGTCCCGAATTAAGAAAAGAAATCTTTCAGACCCTGAATTGATAGTTTACCTATTTTTCAGGTCTTGTATTGAAAAAACTCCATAAAAGAAATAGCAACCACAAAGGTGGCCGTTTTAGCACGGCCAAGTTTGGGGCCGGCTGTTTGGCGACTTTAACTCACCAATGTTCGAGCAGTTATCAACGACTTTCAGATCCACCGTCGACAGTTAAACTATAATTACAATATGATTTTGTTGGCATTATTTACCCACGGTGCATAATTGTCTAATGATTTTAGGCATTTACCTCCTTTCTTTATACCCAAAAAATATATATATATATAATTTTATTTCGTCTACGAAAAATGGACTACGCGGGCGGAAAACGTGCTGAGTGAGCGTGTGGTTCGTGGACGATTTTGGACTTGTCAAAAAGTCTACTAATCTTCAACCATGGGCGGCACATTATCTACAAATTTCTTTGTCATTATTTCTTTGGCTACTCCACTAGAACTGCACAAAATATGGTTAATCAATTGAAAATGAAAAATTCGGCTTTGACCAGAATCAAAATCGAATATTTTGTTCGGTTTCTCAGTTTACATTTTCTCTAATATTTTGATTTTTGGTTCGATTTGGATATAATTTATCAGTTAACTGAATCGAACCAAATATTATATTATACATATATATGTTATAAATGCCCAATATAATGATATTAAAAATCTCTTAAGTTGCGGAAGAGATACCAAAATCGAACCTCTTCTTGGTTACAAAAAACTACATTTAAATATTTATACCAAACGGTTTTGCTATGGAGCCATCGGATGACTCGGCTTATGGAGTCATCCATTGTTATTCACAAATGATGTATTGACACGTGTCCTGCAATTAATGCACATTGGACATGTGTCAGTATATAAAAATATGGATGGCTCCATAACAGAGCCATCCGATTGCTCCATAGAATTACTGTTATACCAAAGACTATAATTATAATTATATCCAATAAATTCAAAATCTTTTTTCATTTTAGTTACAAGAAAATCGGTCTGCAATCAACACTTGGATCAATTTAAAAATTATTCCTTAAATTGAAGGAATTTATAGATAATTGTTATCTCTATTTAATCACATGATTATTTTCAATATAAATAAAAGAAAAATT